GGCAGACAACATGCAAGAACACGAACCAGGCAAACAAAAAAAATACAAGTCAAAAAAAAAAAAAGAAGACTGAAAAAAATAAAAGCAGGTGATGATAGATTGTTTCGTAGGAGTTGCACCGACTCGTCAGGAGGCTGAACCCTCGAGAATCTGCGGAATCCCCGTATTTGATGGTTTGGGTCATGAACCCTTTGACCCATGTTGAAGGCAGACTGCACCCGGCGGGACATAGCAGCGGGCAGCACCCCTGTGGAGCACCAGGCCACAAAGTAGAGGCAGCCCAACTGCTTATCACCAAAAACGACTACAAGGAACGACAAGGCAAGCGGACGAGCAGCTGGGCAACCATGCGGTGATGCGCAAGGCAACATCAGCAAAGCGACCAGACCACAAGGCACGCAAGCAAGTAAAGGACGCGGAAGGCCAACAGGGCAAGCAGACAAGCAGCTCGGCAACCGTGCAGTGAAGCACAAGGCACCACCAACAAGGCAGCCAAACTACAAGGCATGCACGCAAAGGACATTGAAGGCCGACAGGGCACACGGACAAGCAGCTCAGCAACCGTGCAGCGAAGCGCGAGGCACCACCACAAGACTACCAAACCACAAGGCATGCAAGCAAAAGACATGGGAGGCACGACCCGCGGGTAGGCAGCAAGGCAGCAGAGCAGCAAGGACGACCTGCAAAGCAAGAGGCACGTGCAGCAAGACCACGGCAGAGCGCAGACAAGACAGTCTACACATCCAACACGAAGCAAAGCAGCACATGACCTACTCATATCACGATAGAACCCCGCAAACTGTTGGTTCCCACCACCCGCTGAGCCAGGGGGACACTCCGACGACCATCCGTCATCACCGACACGCAACGCAGACATCCCGAACCGAGCGGCCCCCCTAAGAGTGCAGTTGGCACTCCAAACGAGGAACCACCGACTATTTGGCACTGCTAGAGGGTGCCTGGCTAGAGACACAAAAAACACTTTGAAAAAATAAGAGAAAGAGGAAAAACAAGCATACCTAAAACTGATTGTGTGTGTGTGTGTGTGTGCGTGTGTGTGTGTGTGTATGTGTGTGTGTGTGTGTGTGCGAGCTGCCGCCGCTGCGCCCTCGCCCGTGCGCGGACAG